TTTAAATTATTTGTTATTTTAGGAATAAATTTAATAAAACACTGTTTGAAATAACCAGTTTCCAATCCATGTCAGCATTCTTGAAGTTGTAATGAAATTTTTAGATCAAGAGCTTTGGACTCAAGCCAAAAGACTGTGGTGTTAGTTCAAGCTCTATCTGCCTTTTTTCCCACTCCTGCCCTCTAATCCAGATGGAGGTGCACTCTATCTGCCTTTTTTCCTAAAGCTCTATCTGCCTTTTTTTTAATCTATCTTTTTTCCTAAAGCTCTATCTGCCTTTTTTCCCACTCCTGCCCTCTAATCCAGATGGAGGTGCACTCCCCTGGCCTGAAGGCAGTGTCTCTGATCTTTAGTTTCTTTAATCTGGTAAATGAAGCCCCTAGGCCATGTTTTTGAGCTTCAATCCATTGAACCCTCACTGTTCCTTAGGAATTAGGAACTTGGCTAGAGAAAGGGCTCAGAGGACAAAGTGAAAGTGAAGCACTCACAGCCCTTGTTACCACTTCCATCTCAGCACTTCTGCTTTCATCTGGTTTATATGCAGATTTTCCAAAAGGGATTCTGTTTAAGTAAGGATACAGTATTTCACAAGTATTTGAGAACTCTAAAACTGAAGGATACATAGAGTCTTGCTAGAGTGAACATTTCATGAGATTCTTGCAGGGTGGTATCTTGTGTAATTTCTTGCTCAACCCCAAATGGTCACAATGCTGTTCCCTTGAGTTAAACCCTTATGACCCTTGTTTCCCACGCCCTCATGGAGCTGTGGGGAGCAAACTGTTTGCATTGACCAGATTTCTTGTTAGTCGACCCCTTGGTTTTAAAAACATAGATTGCGCTAAACCTTGATTATGAAGAATACCTTTCATTTCTTCCCCTTGCCTGCACAGAAGTTCCTTCAGTTGCTCATGTTCTCTGCTGTCCATCCCATCTGTCCACAAGAAGGAAACCATTTTATTTTCATGAGAACCTCTATTTCCTCTTACCCTGTGAACTCACAGATGAGGAAGCTGTGGCTAAAAATTTAGGGAGTAAACAAGCTCTTTCAAATCAAGGCAGTATATGTTAAAGGAACATTTAAACACAAAGATGTTGTTAGAATAGAAAAGCAGAAATCAAGAAGGAAAGAGAAAACCTGAGAAAGGAAATGTGGCATTCTAGGGAAGGTGTTGAAGAAGATAAACAAGTGTTTCTTAACTTTAAGTTTCATCTAAACACTTTCAAGGAAGGATCATGGAGCGTGAGTAGAGAAGCTACAGCTTTAGAGCAGTTTTCTCACCAACAGTGGAATGGATACCACCAGTGGCATCCAAGGCACTCTGGACCAGGAATGTGGATTTTTCCATTTGTACAAATTCTTTTCCTGGCCAAGGTTTCAATGGACCTCCCTCCCCAAAATGCCTTCTCACGTGGCCCATGCCATGGAAACAGTGCTGGTAATGGTTCATAGACTCGCTGGGGTAAAAAGGCTTATTAACAAAGGAGGGCCTGAGCATATTCAAGGAAAAGGAGTTCCTTGGATCTTGGACTATCAAAAAGATCCTCTGGCTTGAGACAAATTGACAAAGTGTTATAGGACAGGGAGAGGGGCAGCCCAAACCCCGCAAACCTGCCTATTCTAAATGGGTTCTGCCATCCGCCGCATCAACACAAAACATAGGAGACTTTAATGGGAAGGAACTTTAATTAAACTAGGAAACAACACAGGGAAGGCAAAGAGTCTAGTTTCTAAATGAAGCACCCAAAGTTACCCATCCCCTCGTGGGTAAAAGTCCATCCATATGGGATCGGCCCAGAGCAGGGCCCCAAAGCCTGCCTCAAGTCTAAAGCATCTTCCAGTGGGGACCCACAGCAAAGGGTCACAAACAACCGGACAAGCCCGGAAGGAAAAGAGCAAAATCAACATCAAGATAAAAGCTGCCATGGTCACCTCCCCACGGGTCTCACCCACATCTGTGTCACACAGTCCACGACCAAAAGACAAGCGCAGTTTCTTCACGTGTCTCTAGGCTCCATGCGCCTCCTCCAGGTCTCCTGGCTCCATCCTGCTTCCTTCCTCAGTCTCTTCTGCAGCTTCTCCTCTTCTATTCCTGCTCAGCTCCACCCTCTCTTGTGTGGGGCAGGGAACCTCCCCCTTTCCTGGGGACCACCCTGTTACAAAAGGACTCAAAATAGTGCCGAGATGGCAGGTGGGCTTCCAGTGTCCCTTGATCCTGGTGCCTGTGACACCGAACGCCGGTCTCAGTTTCCCTCGGCCAATAAAAGGAAACAGAGTTTGAGGAGAAGGAAAGTAATTTAATTTGTTGACAAACTGAGGAGGGCAGCAGACTTGTTCTGAAACACCACCGTCCTGCTCTTTGGCAGAGGGCAGGGGCATTTATACAAAGGAGTCAAACAAAAGGGAGACGGGCAAGGGTCAGCACATCCTTTTGATGCAGGCATATGGAGTTTTCAGGTGGGCACCAGCCTGCTTTGTTAACACCTGATATTTAACATCCTTATTATCCTCTTTGGGATATCCTTCTTTTTCCTCAGACTGCAAGAAGACAAACTTGTTAAATGTAACAGATAGGAATGCTTATCTGAGGGGACAGGAAGAGAGACCTGACCTGTTTCACTGCATCAGCTGGGCTCACTGTCATGTACAATGACTATTCGGCAGTACACATGAGCAGAAAGGAAAGAAGCAGGCAGCCAGGAGCAATACTCCTGCTCCCTAAGAGTGCTCCTGCAGGGAGGGTGCCTTAAAGAATCGCCCAATGGCATCCTCCCTATAAGGATTTCACTAGCAAACCAGGACCTTAGAAAAGGCACAAATGCAATCCAACCCCTTTTGAACAGAAAAGAAAGAAAAGTCAATTCAAGCCAGATAGGCTTCTGATTTTTACATTGCTTGCCTCCTCTTACCTTCAGTACACAAATTCCGTTAGGGAAAAAAAAAATAGCCCATTAAACTATGATTTTACAAATATGATTGTGAAGTCAGTTTTGAAGGTTTTGGGCTTGGAGAGTGGATTCCTTGGATTAACTCTGGGAAAAGTTTCACCAGAGCTCCCCTTTTAGCGGGACTGGGGAGTTTGCCAGGTGAGTTTCTCCACAAGGCAGAGAAGTTAATAGTATCCAAAAGGGCCTGTTTATTATAAAATGGAGAGAATAATAAAGGACACTTGCATAGACACAAGTGGGCAGAAAGGGCTGCCGCTGAAAGGGAAAGGTTTGCTAAAAAAGGAGGCCTGCATGGTCACAGGTGGGCAGCTTGGGAGGAGAGCTGCCTCTGCTGCTCTGCCGGAAGTCGGTAAAGAGAAGCACTGACATGGTGATTTTTCCCTTTGCTTTGCAAAAGGAAAAGTTTGGCCAAGAGAAACACCTGCATAGTCACAGGTGGGCAGAAGGGCTGCTGCCCCCCACCAGTGCAGAGATTGCACTTACATAGCTATCGTCTCCTTGGGAGGGGTCATTCCTTTGTGGAGTGGTTCATTTTTGTTAATTTTGAATAACTATGCAGAATTTGAAAAGGACCAGAGAGAATCTCTGATGGTCCTCAATCTCCATATCCTCTTTCTTTTGTGGAGGGAGGGGGTTGTCCCTTGTACTGGGTTGATTTGTAAGGACCAGTGATTCTCTACAATGACCCTCGATTTCCATTTCCCCATGTCTGGTCTGCACCTTGTGATACTCTCTGTTCTGATACTTGCTATAGCAGTTGGCACCTAAGGATTTTTCATTTCTAAAGCTGGTTTAACGACTATGTTAATCACTTTGACCCCTACCTCCAGCTCCCAGCATTGCCTGAGCCAGGTTTCTGGTTTTGTGGTGCCTCCTTTTCAGTTTTTCTACTCTTAATCTCCATCAATTGCTTATAATGAGACAACACTTTTAAAGTACATTAAAATAAAAATAAATCTAATACAAGAGGTAGCACTAAGGTTTGGCAAAAAATATGATGGAGGTTGGAGGATGAAGGTACCTCAGGAAATTTTGGGCTAGACAGCTCCAGTCTCTTCTGTCACAGTACCTTCTACTAAAACTAATATGTGCAACTTTAAATAGACTCTGTGAAAGTCATCTTAAGGTCCCATCAGATGTGCTTACTAATTTGCTCCCTCCTATAGCAAAGAAGATAGCTAAATAAGATCTTCTGAATGAATGTTTACATAGGTGAGGGAATGTCTATGAAGAATAAACAATTGCTGTCTAGCCTTGGGGAGCAAGATATGCTCACATCAAAGGGAATCAGGAGGATTAAAAATAAGACCCTAGACTCCTACTTGGTCTTTGCCAGGCCCTGCGTCACCTAGTCATTTTGTCAGCCTCTACCTCAACCTCTACCCAGTACAAGGTTTCAAAGAAGGACCCTATTTGTCCCATGATACTGATGGACAGGGTCTGCATGGAGTAGGGAGTTATCTCATACTCTACTGAAGACAGGGGTCTTCTCAGCCAAGACTCTCAAATCCTGGGCCTGGACGAAGATGGCAAAATCATGGTGTTATGGAAATAGTGTTACAGGCAACTAAGTAAAGGCAGAAGGGAATCCTGCTGAACTTGGGAGAGCTGCCCCAAGATGAATGCCTGCAGAGTTGAATTTTGGTCAGTACAGATGCTGAACAGCTACAGGTTACACAGTGCCAATGTGTGCCCTCTACCCTGGGGGCAAGGTGGGTGCAAAACCCAGAGTACCTTGCAACAGGCAGAATCAAGCAGCAAAGCCCATTTTTAAAAAGGTCACAAAGTACTCTTTGATCAGGGTATATAACAGGCTCTTCTCAAATAGGATATCAATAGAAATGAAATGGAGAAAACGAGTGCTTACCCCAAGGAATGTGTCTCCTTCACACAGGTACTATTTGATATTAATCATAATATTGCAACACTAAGCAAACCCAAATAATCTGCTCAGAGTCACCCTTTCTTATGATTGCTCAGGCTATTCATTGCTAATCAAGAGGATGTTGTGAAACGTGAGTCAGACAGCCTCTGGCTCTCCAGGAGTACAAAGACTCTGCATATAAAGGAGCTTCCTAGTTGAGTTATTAAAGCAGCTGGCAGGTGATTTCCTTCGGCTGAGAAGAAAGAGCCAGCATGTCCAGCCTTCCTCTGCTGCTGCTGCTCTGGGCCCTGGGCTCTCAGGGCTTCCCAGCAACATCCGACACACAAGAACAAGATATGGAGATGGTCCAGGTAAAAGCTGCCTTATACATGCCAGAAACACAAAAGCCTTTTTTTTCACTTTTCTTCTACAGTATAACAGTGATAGTAGTATAATGGACTTTATTTAAGGGAGGATTTCATACATTAAGAAATTTTTTTCTGAAAATGTATTCAGCCAGTTGTCTCTTTTTCCAACTAGAGGTGAGAGAGAAATCAACAGACAGTGTGCTGATGCGGTTCTACAAAGTGTAATTCCGACTTCAAAGTAATCAATGGCAGGGAAAATTCAACTCTGAAATTATATTTGAATTAATAGGACAATAAGAACCATAAAATCTAAGCACAGGGGCCTCCTCAGTGGCACAGCAGTTGAGTGTTGGGCTGTGAGGCTGCCCACAACTTTTGCAGCGCTGGTTCTATCCCCGGCTGCCAGCGAGAGTCCCACTTGGCGCTCAGACCCCTCCTGCCACCCTGCCACCCTGCTGCTCCCTTCGGCAGTGTATTTCAGTCAGTTTGCCTGTTCTGCTCCCTGTTCTGGCTCTGGTGAATCCACTCACCCTCCTGCGCTTCTGACTGTACCCAGTGCTTGTATAGATAAATAAATCTTTAAAAAAAAAATCTAAACACAAACTTGAGTTGTTCTCTGTTTCAGCTTAAACATTATACTGTCCATTTTTAGATAAATGAGAATGATTTTCCATCCACTATCTCAATAATTTTATCTTAGAAATATCTGGAAAACTACTACAACCTAAAGATTGATGGGATGCAAAAAAAGCAGAGAAGCCATGATCCACTTGCTGAAAAGCTGAAGCAAATGCAGGAATTTTTTGGGCTGAAGGTGACTGGGAAGCCAGATGCTGAAACTCTGAAAAAGATGAAGCAGCCCAGATGTGGGGTGTCCGATGTGACCCTCCGCTTTAAACTCACTCCAGGGAACCCTCGATGGGAGCACACACACCTGACCTACAGGTAACCAGGATGAGCACCAATGTGAGAATGTTTTCCCTCAAAGTCGTAAGAATACAGATCTGATGTGTATTTTTATTTCATTTTAAGGATCGAAAACTACACACCAGATTTGCCAAGAGCAGATGTGGACCACGCCATCGAGAAAGCCTTTCAACTCTGGAGCAAAGTCTCTCCCCTGACTTTCAGAAGGGTCTTTCAGGGTCAGGCAGACATAATGCTCTCCTTTGTGTGGGGAGGTAAGCCCTTCCTGTCACATGAGAATAGTCTCACCTTAACTTCACCTTGCTCCTAAATCTCTTCAGCTTTGCACCTGGAATTCTTTAAGGGGAATGTCAACCTCACAGGTTTAAGGAGGGGCGCTATATATCATGTTCTGTGAGTTCTGTTGGTCTCTTAGAAAGCTAATGTTTGTCCTGCTGGGTCAGTCTAAACAGAATCATGAAGGACACTGCTTGAATTGTTTCTTGCAGATCACTATGACAACAATCCCTTTTATGGACCTGATGGAATCCTTGCCCATGCTTTTCAACCAGGCCCAGGAATTGGAGGTGATGTTCATTTTGATGAAGATGAAACATGGACCAGTGATTCCAGAAGTGAGTCAATGAATTTTGCCAATCTCAGTTCCTCCTCTCCTTCATGGTTCATTGTGATACTGGTATATTTAACCGAAAGAATGCATGTTTAATAGAAGTATGCACATTTCTGCTGCTACTGAGAAAATTAATGCTACATTGAGAAACATGTAAGAGAAGGATATTTCTGTTATTAACAATATATTGCCTACAAATAAGCCACTCTCAAATTTCTGTTTAAAAGATGTTGGAACTTGTAATGTTCTATTTGTAGGAATCTCGTAGAGTTTGTTTTTTACTAAAAAGACATACCACAATTTAACACTGGTAGTAACACTATGGAAATTGTAAGACTATGTGGGAATTAAAAGAGAGGAGGTTGTGTTTTCTAAAATTTCTAGCAGTACACCAGTGTCAGATTTGTATGTAGGAGGAAATATATTTATTGAACTCTATTGCCTCTCTGAAATAATATGTCCCATTGACTCACTGATATGATTGACCAATTTGTGTTAGAAACACAGCTGAGTTTTTCCTTTACTCAGTGTCATCATATAGAGTTTAGGCTTGCACCTATTTTTTTAACTATTAATAAATGCACTCCTCCAGCCTTCAGAAAAAGTTTTAAAAATATTTCCAAACATTATCAAGGAAATATGAGGATTGCCTTTTGTGGGGTGGTATGTGGTTTTTTAATTAAATGTCTCTGAAAGATGAAAACATTTCAAATAATTGCAAACAACTTTATTGGCCCATTTAGATTACAACTTGTATCGTGTTGCGGCTCATGAATTGGGTCATTCCCTTGGACTCTCTCACTCTACTGATATTGGGGCTTTGATGTACCCCAATTACATCTTCAGTGATGATGTTGAGCTAAATCAGGATGACATCAATGGCATCCAGGCCATATACGGTGAGAATAAGGAAAATGTGGGCCATGGGGTCACTGACACCGCCATTAGCTACAACCTGGAAGGAGCTGTCATTTGTTGTCTATGTAGTTTTCTAATGCCAAAACTAATTCCAGATCTTTTTTTTCTTTAGGACCTTCCGAAAATCCTATCCAGCCAAATGTCCCACAAACCCCAAAAGTGTGTGATAACAAGCTCACTTTTGATGCTATAACTACAATTCGGGGAGAAATGATGTTCTTCAAAGACAGGTGAGACCTCAGGTTCTTTGTGTTTTGCATTTGTAAGAATGACAACATTCACCACTCTGGGTCTCTGTGGGCCACCACTGCGCTTGACATGCATTTATCTTACACATATTAATATACCTCACAGTATGGCAGCAATTGCTTGCATTTCCACAAGATGAAAAACAGCAAATTTGGTTCCCCATGCGTATTCTATTTGAGCCCCAGGAAAATATACCATCAAAGGAAAAAAAAAATCAGTCAATATAATTCCATTTTACAGATCAGTAAAGTAAGGCAGAGAAAAGAGAACCTTTCAGGGCATAAAAATAATCAAAAATCATCTTTTGAAATTATTTTGCTACAGTTTACTATTTCTTTAAGCTCTTGAGATTGTTTATGTCTGATGTTTGTGTATGCTGGAAATACAAAGGTGCACTACTGAAATCTGCCTTGACCTGTATTTCCACACAAAATTAAGCAAACGCTATAAACTAAGTCTCCGCCCACCCCCATCTGGGAGAGCCAGATGTTAAATATTTACCAGTACATCACAAGTGCCAGCAATAAGGAACTGGATGTCAACCAGAAATTGTCGTCACTTAGATCAAAATCTTTTCCTTTTTTACAAATCAGATTCTATATGCGTACAAATTCCTACTATCCAGAAGTTGAGCTCAACCTCATTTCTGTTTTCTGGCCACATTTGCCAAAAGGATTTCAAGCTGCTTACGAAGTTGTCTATAGAGATGAAGTCCGGTTTTTCAAAGGTAATATTTCCATTTCCCTTTCATTTTGGTATGAATTAATTTTTCATCTGTTTTGGGGCTGAGATATGAGAGTACTAACTACTTTCTCTCCATGGGCTTCTGAGAAGCTAACAGTTTCATCTACCAATCAAAAAGAGTCTATCACCTTAAGTAAGAATTGCACAGAGCACCTCTGAGTTATTTTAAATAAAAAGTGTAGGGCCTCCCCTAGTGGCGCAGGTTGTTGAGCACAGCGCTGTGAAGCTGTCCGCAGCCTTTGCAGCGTGGGTTCAATCCCAGCCGGCCTGTGAGGGTCCCACATGGCGCAGCAGACCTCTCCTGTCTCACCTGCTGCTTCTCTCAGCAGTGTATTTCAGTCAGTCTGCCTGCTCTGTTCCCCGCTCTGTCTCTGGTGAATCCTCTCACCCACCCCCACATCTGGCCTGTACCCCAGGGTTCTTGTATAAATAAATAAATCAATCTAAAAATAAAATTTAAAAAATAAATAAAAAGTGTAAGAGTGGATGGAAATAGACATTTTCTGATCTATTTATGAGTCTGGACTTAGAAAAGTATTTACTTGTGTATTATAAGTCCTCTCTACACTCCTGGGGTGCACAGGAATAAAATTGAGAGACTTGGTTCAACACCATAAAGAGGATATAACTTAACATTTGAATCATGTGATTTCTGAGAACCTGTATTAATACAAATGACTCTTCTGAGTGAGGATAGGTCTCCAGTGGGCAGGCTTACTAGGTATAAACATACAGCAGGCTTGCTGTAAACATAGGGTCCTCAGACCAGCAGCAATTAGGAATAAAGAATCTCACTTAGTATAATGTCCTTAAGGTCTAACAACATTGTCAGCCCCTATACCTCACCTTCTGAACTTTAACAAAGATTTCCAAGCAACTTGTATGTATATGAAAGTATAAGTCCTGAATTGCCATGAATTGAATGGTAATTTCTTTGATTTTATCATGATGAAATACAAAAAATGATCAGCTTTTAGTTTAGAAGACACTATACCCAACACTAGTATTTCTGCAAAGACATTTGTGGCAAAGTCCAAATGTTAAGACATGTGACACAGTCTTATATTCAAGGCAATGAACTGAATGCACTTTGGCGGGACACAAAACCTTGAAACAGACTTTCTATTTCATGAAATCCCCCATGATTTTAGACAAACCAAGCTTCAAATTGCTTTTTCAAAAGGGGTTAAAAAAAAACCATTTGTGCCATGAAACCAAACCTGACTTCAAGAAAAATCAGTGGTTTTATATGATGTGGGGCTTACGAGGTATAAACATATAAACTCTGGAAACCACATAAAGTCAATTATTTGGAACTGTGTTCTGCAGATGCAATGATTTTTACCTGGGGTTGCAAGCCATCAGAGATGGTGAGTCATTACAACACTCCAGCCATTAGGATATCATTGGTGTGAACTTCCACAGCCCCTGCACAACCTGGAGGAATGAACTTTATAAGGCTGAGCTTCCAGAAGGAAACTCCTTAGTCATCTGAATATCTAGCTTTGCAAAGATGCCCTTAATCCCATAAACTAACCATTCACAAAGTTTGCCACAGATTAGAATAATCTAGTAAACCTTAAAATGTCTACTGACTTAATCAGTCTAGGGTAGGATACTGGCATCAGTACATTCAAAAAGCTTCCCAGATAAATGAATTGTACAGCCAGGACATTGCTGCTGCCTATAAGACAAAATGCTGAGCAGGGAATCTGCTTCCTGTCTACCGGCATCCTGGGCAAATGTTTTCATCCCTGTTTATTAATTGACAGGTAACAAGTACTGGGCAGTTCAGGGGCAGGACGCATTATACGGATACCCCAAGGACATCTACAGCTCCTTCGGCTTCCCAAGAAGTGTGAAACACATTGATGCTGCTGTTTCTGAGGAAGAAACTGGAAAAACATACTTCTTTGTTGCTAACCAGTACTGGAGGTAAAGGCCAAATGCAGAAAATATTTCATGTGAAGCCTGTAGTCAGTCTAGCTTCCACGTCTAATTATCAGTCATCACGATGCAACACTTATGCTGAGAATCAGAGGAGAACACAGGGCTGAATTTGAAAAGGATGTAAAAAGAAGGTACACAGTTTCATAGAGTAACTTCAACCAACAGCAACTTACCGGTCATTACAGTGACCTTAACAGGGCAGTGTATGGAGAATTAGAATCCTTGCTGGGGTTCAGAGGGACCCAGCCTCTTACTCTCCCTTATCCACACTCCCCACCCCATTTTCCCATGATCCATAGACGTAACAGTTTAACAAATGATTCTAACACTTTTTTTTTTTTTTACCAGGTATGATGAATATAAACGCTCCATGGATGCAGGCTATCCCAAAATGATAGTGGAAGACTTTCCTGGAATAGGCAACAAAGTTGATGCTGTCTTCAAGAAAGATGGTAAATGAACATATATGTATTTACTCTATTTTGTTGCTATAGGAACATCAATGTTTTCATTTGGAAAAACAAGTGCCAAAAATATTTGTTCGTACAAATAACTTGGGTTCTTCAAGAATCCAAGATAAACCTAGAAATCATTTGTATAATGTAGTAAGTCTCTTTTGTTTTATTTCTAGGATTTTTCTATTTCTTTCATGGAACAAGACAATACAAATTTGATCCTAAAACTAAGAGAATTTTGACTCTCCTGAAAACAAACAGCTGGTTCAACTGCAGATAATAATTGACCATCACATAGTGAACAGAAAAATATATTTCAACAGCCCAAGAAAGTGTTTTCTTGAAGAGCCATGCATTCAAATACAATAGTCTTTAAGTATAATATTATTGTATTTCATTCTGCACGCTTTTCACAATTGAGATTGTAATTTGCTATGTACTGCTATAATTCAGTTCCACAAATGAGGGTGAAGAAATTCATTACTTGTTTAGTCACATGGGCCAGTTTTGCAAAGAGAGAAGCTTCTTTCCAACGTCTAAGTCTCAGACATTAGTCCTGGGAGCAGCCTTAATGATAAACATCTCTTTCAAGAAAAAAGAGATGAGAGATAAGAATCTTCACCTGAGGAAAAGCCTTTCAAGAACATGTAAGCAGCCACTCGTATCATCCTAACATGCAAGGGACAGCTTCTATTACAGAAAATAAAGTGTTTTATCTTTGGAATAAAGCCATCCTTGTCTATGCTCTCTTATAATTTTAGTTTTAAATCTGTTACAGTCTATTGTTACTTCCTGGTTATGAAGTCACAACTTAGAGAGATCAACTCCCATATCTGAAATGGGAAGCAGATAAATATTCAAAATATTCATAGGGGAAATTAGGATATAGAAAAAGTTCAAACATTCTCTATTCTCATGGAACTGACATCCCACAGAAAGACAGGGAGGAGGGACCTACTTCCCATGTCCATGCAAGGATTCCCAAACTGCTCCTACAAGAGCAGGGATGGCAGGGTAGAGTTTTTCAAGGGCATATTCATCTTCTTTTCTGAGCCCAGGGGAGGGTTACATTTCTGGCAGTCCAATGAATGGTGGGCAGTGGCTTATGACTCATCCTGGCCAATGGGTTGTGTCCAGAGGAGGCCAATATCACTTCCAGATGGAAACATAGACTGCTGGTGTAAACTGTCCCGTGTTCTCCCCTTTGCTGCAGTGACTGTAGTAATCTGATGAAGAGTTTCGAAAAGATATTTGCCTCCCTTCCAAGCTTCAGCAGATTTGGCTTCAACAAGAAATGAGCTTTATTGGAAAAGCCACTGAGATGCTAGCTATTGTTAGCGCTATCCGGTTTATCTAAACAAGCATTATCCAGCTGATCCTGACTGATTTGGGAGGATGTTAATGTTAGTAGGAGTCCTGTGGGTGGCTTTCAAGTTCCACAAGTTTGTTTTATAAGGACTTCACAGCATGCTCAATAGTGTCTGTGCAGACTTTCAAAATACATAGAGATTTGAAAATAGTTTGAGATACTGATTTTGAGACAGGCAGTTCTTAAATCAAGAATTTGGAAAGCCCTGAACCTCTCCTTTGGGCAAGTCTTTTCTCTCTCATCATTATTTTTAGACCAAAGTGTAATATAAGTAGAGAGAATGGCTCACTCATTGTCACTGTTCATATCACTGAATGATGCCAAAGTTGACAATATCCAGACCAACACGGCGGAGCCCACCCCCATCACTGCTCACCTTAGCCTCAGTCCAGTTCACTAGGATCAGAGGCTGAAACTGGAATTCCTTGGTGAGGAATGTTTTTATGAGAAGAGGAAGACATTTTAAAGCAGGTCTAGAATGTGGTCTCAGACAGAGACAGCCCTGATCTCATGGGCAAGGAGATAGGGAGCAAAAATTGAACCATGGTTGACCCCACCTTGAGGTAAAGGAAGAAGAAAGGCCAAGAATAGCCAGGATGTTCCTGGAGAGAATGAGGAAAAATATCCCACTTCATAAAGCTTAACTATTGATAGAAAAGATGATGTGCCAGTGCAGAAACTGATAACTAATGGAACTATTCAGAACTGTTGGCTCCTTTGCAAACCACTGTTTTCATAAACTATTGTTTCATAGTGTTCTACTGATAGTATATTATTTGAGCTTTTATTATGTTTTGGGTCTGTTTTGTTAGTGTTTTCCTAGGAATTTTTCAACTGTGTCTGCTTCCAAATCAGCTGGTATAAAATTTTTGGAATATGATTTTGTTGTCATTTTAATTACTGCTAATGATATTTTCCCTTTTTCTTCCCTAATATTGAATCTTTGTGCTTTCTCCATTAATTTGATAGGATAATGAAAGATATTAAAGAATTTTTTTAAATCTTCTATTAAGAACTACTCTTTGCTGTGTTGATACACTCTCTTGTATTTTGATTTTCTATTTAGTTTCAATCCATATCCTTATTATTGCCCTAAATTTTGTTTTCTTTGAATTCATTGTGATTTTTAGAAGTTTGATCCTTCTCTTATTATAGCCTTTCTTCTTTGCTAATATATGTCTATGCTTACAAATATCCCTTTCTTTTTTTTATAATAAATTTTATTTTTATATTCCCCATACAATTGCAACCCCCTTATTTTGACCCCAATCCCTCCCCTCCCGCCCCCTACCCCCATAGAGTGTCTCTGGTTCATAGTTTTTTGTTGATTTTGATTTTCACTTTCTTATAGTTATTCATTTTCCTGGTCCCTTATTTAAGTTTTCTAGATTCCTGCTATGGGTGAGACCATCCAGTATTTTTCTTTTTCTTTCTGGCTTATTTCGCTGAGCATGATCCCTTCCAGCGCCATCCATGTTGCTGCAAATTGCATGTGTTTATCTTTTTTGAATGCTGAGTAATATTCCATGGTGTATATGTACCACATCTTCTTGATCCAGTCATCTATTTTTGGGCAGCAAATATCCCTTTCTTCCCAACTTTTGCTCATCCCACAGTGTTGATACATAGTATTTTCATTTTGTTCATTTTTAAGTATTTAAAATTTCCATTTTTAATTTTTTCTTGACTCATAAGTTACTTGGGAGTAATTTTAAATGCCACACTATGTGGGAATTTTTAAAACATGTATTTCTTAGGATCCCATTTTTATGAGAATTAATGAAATAACAAGAAATTGCATTAGTAAAAGATTATATAACTCTAAAGTGCTACTATTATCCATTCATTTATCTAACCTGTATTTATCACTTGCAGTATGCTGAGAACCATGCTAAAGGGGCTCTGTTGTAGAAAGGGCAGCAGAAATGAAGTCATCAGCTGACTGTCTGATTCACACTAGCAATGAGGAGAGCCAGGGGCCCAGAGGCCCAGAGGAAGAGCACCTTACCCATATCCAAGCTCAGCAAAGAAATGTTATCTTATATATGAGTCTTCAAGGACTCTGCTGTGTAGAGAGCAGCTGGGTAAACAGGGAATGGAAAGTTCTTTAAGGCAGAAGGAATTGTGTATACACAAGTAAGAGTGTATCTGGAACTGTTTGGACAAGTAAAAGTCACTCAATTCAGGTGAAGCAAGAAAGATACACAACTGACTAGCATTTTAGAATAGTTAAGCTGACTGTGATGTAAGGAAAGAATTCAGGCCTGGTGTGGGAGGGCATGATGTAATAAAATAAAAGCAGAGAAACTGACAGGATTCCATTACCCAAATTCATTCAAATGTGGGTAGATTCCTAAGAGAGTCAGAAGCACAGACTGGGTTTGGTGATCAATCATAAAGTATCCAAGAGAAAGTGTCCAGTAACCAACTGATTTATTGATGTGAAGCTTGACAGGTATAGGTAAGAAATGTAGATTATGAATTCACCAGCTATTGTAAGAAATAACTGGGACTAACCATTATAATTTACAGTTAATAAATATAAGACTCAGAAAAGGCAGAATATCAGTTATCCACTCATTTATTTGTTCATTCATTCACTCTTTCAAGAAGTATTTATTAATGCCAGCTATGAACTTGGTATTGGGTTAGTGGTTGGAATGAAAACTAAAACTTCCTCCTTGCCATAGCAATGCACTAAAAAAATCATATATAAAGCCAAAGGTTTCATTAGAAATTTTGGGTGTTTCTTTTTTCAAGAGATCAGTTCTGGGCTGTCAGAGAAAATGAGGTACGAGTAGGTTATCCAAGAGGCAACCAAACTTATCCAAAGCTACCCTTTGTTTTCCCCCAACTGTAAAGAAAATTGATGCAGCCATTTCTGATAAGGAAAAGAAGAAAACATACTTCTCTCCAGAGGACCAATACTGGAGGTAGGGTACAATAGGAGGAAATAGTACGGAGCCTAATTCAGGAAATTATTTCCTTTCATGAATGAAATCCCCCACCCCTCTAGCTTCCTCTAACTTCAAACTTTCTGATTATGAAGAAGACTGTAGTTATTCAACTACCCAGATATATAAAGGCTCTCAGGACAGTTGGTCCCTGGGTCATATATCCAAACACCAACAGAGAGAGACCAACAGAGGTGCAGACAATGGGGCAGATTAGGAAGCCCAGGGATATAGAAAAAGAGTTGACAGGATGTAGACATAAGGTCTATCAGGCAAGTGTGAGAGCAACAAAAGTTTATCATTAGCCAAATGACTGAACCAGTTCAGTTGACCTGATTAAAAACAAACAGAAAATCAAACAAACCACAAAAGCATCTCCACACCTCCTTGCCCTAGTTTTCCAGGCACTTCAGGACTCAGCTCAGGAACCACTTTTCTGAGACACTCTGTTCTCTCAGATGGTCTGCAGACATGCCCTTGTGCTCCCAAAATACTTGTCACACTCTACTGTAACGATTACCTCCAAGTTACCCAAATCAGGCTGCCACTTCCTTGAGTGGCTGCCACATGCCACTGTAACTGACTCAAGGGCACAGTAATTAGCATGATGAGGATGTTCAATAAAGGATGCTTAAATTAATGGATAAATGGGTCCCTAAGCCTAGCATGGAAGTAATGTTTGACCTTAGAGTAAAGTATGAGTGGAAGTTGTCAACTCCACAGGTCTGGAGAGGAAGGGCTTTTTAAGAACAGGGAGCCACATGAGCAGTGGCATGGAGATGTTAGATGACAGGCCATGTGTAGGGTCCTGAGGGAAAAAATTGAGAAAGAAGGGATAATACCAAACACATTCTATGAAGCCAACATTACACTAATACCAAAACCGAACAAGGACGACACAAAAAAAGAAAACTACAGACCAATCTCCCTAATGAACACTGATGCAAAAATCCTCAATAAAATTTTAGCTGTCAGAATCCAACAATGTATCCATAAGATAATTCACCACGACCAAGTAGGATTCATTCCAGGGACACAAGGATGGTTCAACATCCGAAAATTAATCAACGTTATCCAACACATAAACAAAAAGAAATATAAAAACCATATGATAATATCAATAGATGCCAAGAAAGCTTTCGACAAAGTGCAACACCCATTCATGATAAAAGCCCTTGAAATTCTTGGGATACAAGGAACATACCTCAACATCATAAAGGCCATATACGACAAGCCAACAGCCAGTATCATTCTCAATGATGAAAAGCTGAAAGCATTTCCATTAAGATCTGGAACAAGACAAGGATGTCCACTCTCACCACTGCTTTTCAATATAATACTGGAAATCATACCCAGAGCAATAAGACAAAAGAAAGACATCCAAGGAATCCAAATAGGAA